TAAATTTTTGCGTTGAGAATTTTTACTTGTGATAAAGTCATTTTGAAATTTTTGTAAAAGCGACAAAAACCCGAAGTTCAATAATGCAAGCAACAAAAGATAATTCCCTTCTAATTACTTCATTCTTTATTATAACCTGTCTTGATTAAAGGTTCAAGAACGCCTATATTTATACATTTTATGTTGGATACATGTTCAGGCTATACTGACGAATAATCCTATTTACATAGCGATCGAACAGTGTACTAAACACTATGCCAAAAAATGTACCAAAGCGTGTACCAAACAATGTACCAAATTATGTACTAAACAGTGTACCAAATATTATAATAACGCAATATTGTAACAAACAAAGCAAAAAACACAAAAAAATTATAATAGAATATTTACGAGTGATCGAATAAATAATTTTATTAAAATATTATCAATGGATATTATAGGAGTGTTCAAAGTATGTAATTAGTGCTATTATTTTGGTAAGTGTTATTATTGTTTCTTATGGGTTATTGTTCTTATTAATTTTTAGTCGTGATTAAAATTATTACGTCTATGTAGTACGAGTCTATCTGCAGGTCACGTCGGAAAAATCACGGGTTTTAGATCGCAATTAAACTCGAATGCTGATGATAACAATATTCGTAAAGATCTACCTGCATGCATGCTTCAACATTGGAACTTAAAAAGTTTTCAAAGAATTGCACTTCAGCATGCTGATGAGATTCTTGAGATAATCATGTCTTTGAAAAAGAGAGAGCGTACTTTGTGCTATTTCAATCCCGAATATTTAAACAAAAAAGTCATAGAAGCGATTGTCGTAATTCCGCCAAAAGTTGGTCCTATTATTGAATATTCCGAAGCGTATCATAATCGTAAAGAACCAACTGTATTGTCAAAAAAGGTAATTTTTATTTCTTTATTTAATCCATAATGGATAATAGTAATAAATGAAAATTTTTTAGGTTCATGAAACGCGAGCTTCATTCCAAATGGAAAAGAAGCAACGTCATGGATCTGATGATCCCGTACAGCCAAGCACAGCAAATGCTTCAACATTGGAACGTGAAAAGTTTTCAAAAGCAATAAAAAGAATTTGAACGGAATTTTGAACTGTCAGGATGTTGTATTGTCGGGATTTTGATTGTCGTGCATTAACAGAACCAACAATTATATTTGAGTATCTTTTATTAATAGAAACATATTAATTACTTAATAATCTTTCAAATACGTGCGGTGAGATATTTGCTTTCTTAAAGACCATCATTTTATTTTGTTCTTGTTTTACTCGGACATCAGAAAGTGTGACTGCAAAATAATAACATGCACATGTACATGTATTACGAGATCTTTTAAATAATAATGTTGGTTATATTGAGGCATGACTGCATAAGTTATTTGACTCCATATTAATCATACTGTTACATTCAACTCAGAAGTTAGGTTGACTAAAGAATGTAGGTATAAAAAAATTAAATTCAAATAAAAAATCAATAAATTTCCTAACACAATCAAATAATACTTTAATTCAGATAATAAAAACAGGTTTATTCCAAAACAAATATAAAACAAATTCAAGTAATCAAACATCTTAAACTAAAGGGACGGAATTTAAACTTGACGAAAGCATTCCTACAAATATAAACAAAAAAATCAACCCAAGGCAATTTACACCATTCAAATCTTTAAACTTAATGTCGAATCCAACTGATAGTGATACGTACATTTACAGTGGTTCACAGAAGAAATGTAACACGACACGAAAAAGTAAAAAATTCTAGTGTGTATAACCTTGAGAATATATAAATTGACTAATAAAAGAATGAATGCTAGCAGAAAAAACATTGGATTATTTTACTATCTCGTTATAGTGTAGAAACCTGTTAGATATTTTGTCTCCACTATAAAGAAAGAGAGTGACTGTGCACAAGTGGTGAATGAAATCATGCCATAAAAGGAGGGATGAATGTATGCAAGGTTGATCCATGATGTGATGTAGCTATCATATGACTGACGAGAAAAATCCAATATACAGTGCGCGACACTTAAAGATGGAAATTAAATTTAAAAACTTTAAAAAGTAATGGAGGATGGTACAGCGGTAGTACAAAAAAAAGGAGGCCGCTATTTTGAAGCTAAGCCAATTTACTACAAATTGTCGGCCTTCTTTTTTAAAAATAATTACTTATTTCTGAGTTATATCCATTTAAAAATATCTTGTTTTATATGTTCAGAGCGATAAGTGGCCAAAATGGGACACAATTTCTTCATGTGCCTTTATGATTGACCAATCAAATTATGAAACACGTGAAATCCAATTTTATTGGTCAATCATAAATCATGTTTTTTAAATTAATTTGCTTGTCATGTGTATTTTGGGCAAAGTTTATTTAATTAAAGTATGCCTCAGCAAAAGAAATAATTTATCAGACTTCAAGAATATAATAATAAAAGAAGAAAACTAGCCCAAGAAAACCAGGAAAAAGGAATTTTAGGAGAGGAGAGAAGTTTTGAAGAAGAAACTATTGAATTTTATAGAGAGAAGGGGGAAAATAAAGCAACTAATAGGACTGATAAAACTGCCAAAGAGGAGGAAACTGACAGAACTGATGAAACTAATAAAATTGATGAAGAGAAGAAAAAGATATGGACATGCCTACTTATAACTTTGATATAGAAGAATGCAAAAAGAGAGAATACAAGAATAATAAAAGGAATATCAAAAATAATCTATTATTGTAAATTTGGTACTTCTGATTCACTTGTCAAGATTACCAAGAGAATATATAAAATTACTAATTTTTTCACTAGTGGATCTTTGGCATTTTCAGTAACTTTGATATATATATTTTCCATATCTACATCCTTCGAGTCTTTGATACTTTCAGTAGCAGATAAAGATGACATGAAAGTAATACTTTGTGAAAGAGTTGCTCAACTTTGAAATGAACTTCTCAAAAATAAATAAATTTTTACAGCTTTCAAGTACAATAGATAACGTACTATTTATAAATATTTAATATGATTAAATGATAATAAAAAAATGAAAACTAGCCAGAAAGTTGCAAACATGGTCTATATCACTTCAACATCATGTACAGCTAAAAAAATTTGTTTTTTGGCCAAATTTTATCTGCAATATAAATCATTTTCACTCTCAAATTGTGGTTAACATTAAAAATATAAGTGACTTGTCAATGATAAAGATATAGCATTAGCTTGCCATCAATAGATATGACAAGAATTAGGAATAAATAGCATTAATTCATTCCAGTTTAAACAGTATATCAAAGATGTTATTCTGCCAGAACACATGGATATCAGAAAAATAATTAGCTTACAAACAGCTGAGAAATGGTTGAATATCTTGGGTTATCAATTTGAGCAATATCAGAAAGAAATATACTTTGATGAATATGAATGAGAAAATATTGTTGCATATTGAGAAAATTTTTTAAAGATAATAAAAAAATTAGAATGATGAATGATGAGATATGAAGGAGAAGTAATGGAAATAATTCCACTAGCACTTATAATAGATAAGCAAGAATTAATTTTTGTCACTTATAATAAGTATATTTTCTATTCAAATGATGGAAAAAGAAGAATTTGAATGGCAAATAGGCAAATGCCATTGTGAAAGAAGAGGAATAGGAGATCGATTATGATAAGTGAATTTCTTTCAGAGACGTATAGTCATTTAAAACTAAGTAAAGAAGAATTGATTGTACATCTAAATATTCCTACTAAGGCATATTATTATCTTATACCTGGCAAAAATCAGAAAGGTTATTGGACTGTTGAGCATCTACTAGAACAAATCAAGCACAAAGTAATTCCTATTTTTGAGATGAAGTTCCCTAATGCAATAGCTGTCTCTGTCTTTGATAATAGTATCAATCACGTAGCATATATAAAGGATGCTCTTGTCACAGGAAGGATGAATCTGAACCCTGGAGGAAAGCAACTAATTATATGATTAACAACTTTTATTGGTGTTGATAAATAATCAACAACCCAATAAATAATATTTACTGAAGATTATCCTGACTCTGCTTTATGAGAAAAACCAAAAGAAATAAAGAGAATATTGCAGGAAAGAGATCTTTAAAAGAAAGAGTTAGTTTTAGATTGTCAGATATATAAGAACAAGGAATTAGCAGAGGGACCTTCATGGATAGACTATTGTGCAAGAAGGATTATGATCTCTCAACTCAATTTTATAGTGCAAAAATCAGCTATTGTGGAGTTAATTGAAAATGCCAGCCATTTATGTATTTTTTATCCAAAGTTTTATTATAAACTTAATTTTATTGAGATGTATTAGGGTGCAGCTAAGCACTATATGAGAAACTATTGTAATTATATGTGGGCTGGCTTGCAGGAAATCATTCTATAAGCACTTGATTCTATGAATATTATTATAATTAGAAAGTTTGCTCAAAAATTGTGGAGATATATGTAATTATATCATGAAGGGTTAATGAAAAAATTAGTAGAGTATGCATATAAGAAATTTAGGTCATATAAACAGATTTCACAGAAGGAATTAGATGAGTTTATGATTAGTAAGAAATAAGTTTTGAATGATAAATATATGTATTTGGATGGTAAAAAATGAATGTGTGTATTTATGTAAATGATAACAAACATATGTTGGGTGGGATATGAGATAAGAAAGGTGAAAGTGAGATATTTTTATTATAATAAAGACTTTTTTGATCAGGATAATATCAAAGAAAATAAGATGCTTATTATAATCATAATTATAATATTGTGATGTATATTATAATAATTACACATTACATATATAATACACGTGATATTGTGAAAATCATGTGTATTCAAAAAAAATATTATAAATCAACTTTTTAGCTAAATGTAAATTTTGGATTTTGAAAATGAGACAAATCACATGATTTATATCTTTAAGTATCATCTACTATAGGTTTTTTCTCATTAGTTGTGTTCTATATTTTTACCCACAATTTCTCTTAGTTTTGATTCAAATATTTTCTTTTGATTTATTTATTTAGTAATATTGAGGTAAAAAAAATATAATAAAGTTTTGACATCATGTTTTAAATTGGAGAGAAATCTAGATTATTTGAAAAATTGGGTTAAACTTATCTAATTTTTACCAGAGATTTATCTTGCTGATATTTTATATTATGTCTTACTTAGTTTTAACGCATACTTTTTTTTGAATATTTAGTCTAATTTTCATTTTTTTGGTAAAGCCATAAAGAATTCTTGATCAAAAACTATTAAATTAAGTTTGACTCTACATTTTAACAAAAGGGAAAATCCATTTATCTTGTTTGACCAGTATATATTACATATGCAAATCAGACATTACTTTTTGTGATGACTGTACATATTTGTATAGTATATACATGATATTCTTATATTTTTTTCTTTTTTTGGTTAATTATTTTAATATACATATAACTATGTAAAAATGTACATTAATCCCTTAATATTCATTAACTGAATGCGTGCCTTTTCCTATTAAAACTTCACAAAGGATGCAAAACATGTATGACAAACATGGTTAGCTAATCTAAAAAGAATTCACAATATTATTTAAATTTGAAGTTTCATGTAGTAAACTCAGCTCAATTTCATCTCTTATAATTTTATCTTGGAGAGATGACTTGCTATAGCAACACTCCCACCCTTTTATTCCTCTTATTTATTTGTTTCTTGTTATTAAACTTGGATGTTCCATATACCCCATATATATATATTATGAGTGCCAGTTCAGGCTCTTACAAAATATATTTATCATTATATAGTTATTGTACATCGATCAAATTAGATTCCTTTTGTGAAAAAGTTGATAATATTGAAAAAGCTAAATTTAGAATTTTGCTTGCCATGCATCCTGTTGATACTGTATTTATGCTTGTCTCATATTACTTTTAAATGACATATGGGAAACTATTACTATAAATAAAATTAATGATTATATTTCTTAGGGATGGCAATATCATTTCTATCATTAATCTCTGGCATTTTTCATATAAAGAAACTTTCAATAAGTCTATCCTCGTTGGGATTCATTTTCATTTTATTGGTAATTATAGGTGATATTCTC